GCACTTAGCAACTAGCATTTCAACTTTGAGTCATTCACAAAATCTCAGATGCATAATCCAAGAATTAGGAATAGCAATATTCCACTGAACAGAGGTAAGAAGCAAAATTAGCTTGTAAAAAAAATGAGGAACACAATTTGCATAAAAACCATAAACATATGACATGGTGTTTTGTGGTGATTATCCAGGATTGTGTTTAAGAATTCTAGCTTTATAGCCAGAGACGTAAGTTTAGCTCTAAATTAATAATATTTACTAACTAAACAGTTGATTCACCAACCTGTAACTTGTTGTCAAAGTGTTTTTGTTGACTGAATACATATTTGATTTATACGTGTATAGTTTGTTATATCCCATGTCATGGAATACAGTGTTGTTATGTTCCGTAGAGTCGGAACCGACCCATAGCTGACCCTCTGCTGGGTTTTCAGAAGCAGTTAATCGCATGGGAGGAGATTGCCCATCTTTCTCCCACAGAGCAAGCAGCTGGTGTGGCCTCAAACCGCCTGCCTTCGGGATTGCAGTGCAGCTTCTTATCACTCGGCCACCAGAGCTCCCTAGGAATATAATGAATACCTTTTAATTTTTTCCTCAACAGAAGTTCTTATCATAGTTCTACACACAGGAATTGAATAAATATCAATATTATATATGCTTATTCGGTAAATAGATCTTATTTGCTGTACTGAAAGTGCATTATGTAATAAAGACAGGTGCGAAAAATAGTACAAAAAACAATTGCCTTTACCATACATATGTATGTTCAGAATCATGGCTTTGCAGATATTTTAAGCAATGACCTAAATGACTGTGCATTGCGGACAATTAAACAATATTTGGAAAGAAATCAGTTGGCCTAATTTTCATGACGACAGATTTCAAGGAATACCACCATCCATGCCAGGTATACCAGACGACGCCGTTATCCGTGTTTGCAGTGTAGGAGCCTTGGTAGTAGAGACCATTTAAGTTTGAAGCGTGACACCTAGTGGAGGAAAAACAGAAGACACAGAATCATCGGAGAATAAGAACATCCCTTAAATTATGTATATTGTATTGAAACAGATGAGGGAAAGAACAGATTAGAAGTGATATATGATTGAGTATTATGGTTAGCACAGGAATCCAGAATTAAGGT